CTCCTGCCCTGCCCAGGTGTCTGCATGACAGCTAAGCTCACAAAGCTCTACTTTCGATACCCGTCATCCTTTATCACGGACACATAGCTTGAGCCAAATAGAATCTGGAAGACAAATTTGCTGCAAAGAAATAACACATGTCTCAAGGCTTAGTAATATTCATCTGTAGATTCTCCACTGGTTAGAATTTTCTGCTGCATTGTTTTCCTCCGTCAACATGATTGAGAGAGAGCTGACTGGACTTCCTTTCTTATTGAAGTTGTCTTTCCACGTATGAACATTGCTGTCCTCCCCTCCTCCCAGCACCTGCATTTAAATCTGTGTAAGCAGTAATTAGTGCCCTTCAACTCAGTCGGCTTTGTTCATGGGCCCACACTCTTAGCACCCCTGGGATGTGCTACCCTGGACCCAGGATTCTAGGGCACCAAGACAAGGATAATTTGAATGGTTTTAATTAAACCATTACAGTACAGTTGACTCTTGAACAATGCAAGGGTTAGGGTCGCTGACCCCTCCCCAATTGAAAATTCATGTATAACTTTTGACTCCCCCCAAATTTAGCTACCAGCAGCCTACTGTTGGCCAGAAGCCTTACTGATAACATAAGCAGTCGATTACCACATGTATTATATGCTGTATTCTTAGAAAAAAGTAAGCTAGAGAAAAGAAAATTTTATTGAGAAAATCATAAATAAGGAGAAAATATATTAACAGTATTGAAAAAAAATCCATGTATATGTATACTGGTAAGTGGATCCATGCAGTTCAAAACCATGTTGTTCAAGGGCCAACTGTATAGATATCCCTTCAGTTGACATTTTTTTTTTAAATATATTTTATTGATTTTTTACAGAGAGGAAGGGACAGGGATAGAGAGCCAGAAACATCGATGAGAGAGAAACATCGATCAGCTGCCTCCTGCACACCCCCCACTGGGGATGTGCCTGCAACCCAGGTACATGCCCTTGACCGGAATCGAACCCGGGACCCTTGAGTCCGCAGGCCGACGCTCTATCCACTGAGCCAAACCGGTTCTGGCAGTTGACATTTATTAAAGACTTCTTTAGGACCAGGTACTGAGCTAGGTGTGAGCATACGAAGATGAAGATGACGCGGTTCCTACCCACAGGGTTTTGTAGTCTGTAGGGGGAAGCAGATCTGTAAGCTGAAGAGTTACAGGTGCTTCTGTGAGGAGACGGGGAGCAAACAGGAGGCAGTGGCCTCTGGGGTTCCAGCAGTCAGGAATCTTTCGTAAAGGGAGCAGACATCGTATTTGTCTTAATGAGTATGTGTTTGCAGATGGACAGTGGAACAAGCGTTCCAGGAAGAGGGAACAATGTGAGTAGAAGCTGGGTGCCTTGGGGAGATTTGGAGCAGGGTGATCCTGCTGGAACGGGTGGTGAGAACGCGAGCCGGGCACTTAGGCAAGGGCGCGGCGTGCCAGCTGAGGATCAGGCAGATGGCCTGGGTTAGGCTTTTAGACAATGATTCTTTTTTTATCCTTGGCTGTTGTCGAACCACAGTGTCTAATTCCTCTATTTTCAAGACCAGATGAGAAAAAGTAGATTCCAGCAGCCTCTCCCCTTCTCGGCAATTAGTGAGGAAGCTTGCAACTGGTTGCCTTGTACTATTTCCCCCTTTGTCTTGAGATAATAAGTAGGCTTGCATTGTGCTTTTCTGCTTCGTGGGATTTGGTGTCCGGATTACAAAGCAGCCCCGCAGTGCAAGAAGGAGTGGGGAACACACCCACTGGCGGTGCCTCTACTGCTGTACCCTCAGCAAGGGTTTTGCCTGTGTGGGAGAAATGAATTTTGTATTGTCACTGCTTTTTATTAAATACTTTGCCACCCTCCCCTCCCCACTTGGTAAATTTATTAATCTTTTCTCCAGAATCTTGGATAGAAAATATATTGCAATATTTCATTGTACAGAGAGGCACACTGGTTTCTCCATATGAAACAAAAAGGCTACAGGTGGGTTTGGGGACTACGCTTTGCCTGTCTTCTTTCAAAGCTTTTTACAAAATATTTATTTTTTATTGATTTCAGAGAGGAAGGGAGAGATAGAAACATCAATGATGAGCCCTGACTGGTTTGGCTCAGTGGGTAGAGCGTCAGCCTGTGGACTGAAGGGTCCCAGGTTTGATTCTGGTCAAGGCCATGTACCTTGGTTGCAGGCTCGATCCCCAGTAGGGAGTGTGCAGAAGGCAGCTGATCGGTGTTTCTCTCTCATCGATGTTTCTAACTCTCTGTCTCTCTCCCTTCCTCTCTGTAAAAAAATCAGTAAAGATATTTTTAAAAAATCAATGATGAGAGAGAATCATCGATCAACTGCTTCCTGCATGCCCCGTATTGGGGATCAAGCCCTGACCGGGAATCAAACCATAATCTGGTTCGTAAGTCGATGCTCAACTACTGAGCCACACCAGCTGGGCATTCTTTTGCATATATGTTCTGAAATCATCCTTTAGTCTAAATGATTGGATTATATATTTCCATTATAGCTTAGTGGTTGTGTTTTGGGACCTGGTGACCAAGTGGATGGTGGGTGAAGGAGGTCAGGACACTGCAGTGTTGTCCAAACTGAAGCAGGACCCTGGCGCCTGAGTATGTGGGTGGGCGGAGATGGAGAGGAGGGGAATCAACTCACCAGGATGACTTCAGGCAACATGGGTGGTGCTGTTCATTGAAGTGGGGCACGTTAGAGGAGGAGGTTTGGGGGAGAGAGGAAGTCACCGTGGAGTGCGAGGGTTTATGGGACACGCATTTTTGGTCCGATTATATAATGGAGTCTGGAGTTTAGGAGAGAGGTCTGGGCTAATGAGACCAGGTTAGTGTCATGAGCCACCAAAGTGGCACCTGAAACCATGGGGAAGGGTGAGCATGTCAGAGGGTCTGGGAGAGTTAAGGACAGTGTGGGAGGAGGTGCAGGAGGATGGAAATGATACAGTGCCTAGCTTTCCAGGGGGCTGATGGCAGGCTGGGGGGGCAGGGGGCGGGTGTGTGTGTGCTGGGGCCTCTAAGCTCGGGAATTCTTGGGCCCAGCTTGGGGTGAACTCAGGACACACAGAAGGGTGGGTGCTTGGTGTTCTGCCAGCAGATGCCTGAGTCCCAAGTATGGTTATCAGGGGACCCAGAGGAGAGATGCAGAGGAGACTGACTTACCTCAGTGTCCTGCCTGTGGTTATGGGGTTGACGCCTCACACGATTCTTCCATGTGCTCATGGGTCACTTGGCAGATACATCCTATGGTTTTCATACGTGTTCCCCATTAGGAGCTCCTTAATGGGATGGACTGTGTCACTTACTTTCTCTGGCTCCTTCTTAGCATGCCAGCCAGGAAATGCTAATCTGTCATGTTTATGCATAAACTGTTTTGTTAAGCCTCTCTGTAGCCAGTGCGAGGCATTGTGAGTAGGGCTTGGGTTGTTTTTGTGTGTGTGTGGTTTTGTGTTTTGTGGGGGTTTTTTGCACCCGGTGGGAGCCTGGCCAAGTGTCCTTGTTGGCTGGAGGGCTGTTAAGCTTTCCGAGGCTGAGTGAGGTCTCAGGGCACCAGTCTCCTTTGTGGCCCTGGCTGCGTTGTCATTAGCGTGTGGGCCACAGGTAGGAGGCCGGATAGCCTCCCAGGCAGGCCCACGGATGTGACCTGGCGATTCTTAGTTTCATGGAGAGATCCCGAGTGTTGGTAGGTATTTGACTCTCTTCTCCAGCCCCAGTTCCCTGCCGTTTACCACTAGTTTGCTTTCTTTTCACCCGCATCCCTGTTCTTTATTCCACCTTCCCTGATCCACTTCCTGCCTCTTCTCCTCCCCGAGGACCCCTTCACTAGGAAACCCAGCTGCCACCTGTCCTGAGATTCCTGTAGTTCCTTTAGTGGCTTTATCCCAGCCCCACAGGCCTTGGTCAGGTTACAAGAGGTCTCTGTCCTGAGAGGGTGCGTTAGGTTCCCACGTAGGCCTCAGCCACATCCATGAGCCAGGAGCCCCTGATGGGTCCAGGGACCTGAGATGCTGCAGGTGGCTCCCATCATCATACTCATGTAGGGCCTCAGTGAGCCCCCAAAAGGTGATTGAAGAAATGGACTGAGTAGTTTGAAGGAAGCCTGAGTTCTATTTGCTGGTTTGATTTTTTTTTTTTTTAAGGGCAATTTGCCTGGATTTGCCTTCAGTATGGGGGCAACTTCCCCAGCCCTCTTTTCTTTCCGGTGTATAATTCTAGGATCTGGAATCAAAGAGCTGCTGCTGTGTTGAGCATCACTGAGCAGACGAGATGGGGCAGGGAGGGTGGCTTTCGTACAGATGACCCTGAGGATGGAATGTGGGCAGCATGGCCCCGCACTCCCAAGCTGCTGGGGATAGCCTGCCCCCACATTTCCATTTTTAGCCTGCCCATCAGGTGTCCTGGGGGTGGCTCTAGCCTGGACAACAGTCCACCACCCCCTGCGACTCACAAGTAAATTAATGGATGGGCTGCAGCAGATGAGGGTTAATCTGCCACCAGGTATCTCCATTCTGCCCTCATGCCATTTCCTGGGCTAGGCAGAATACATTCTCTTGCCCGCTTCCTAACTCGGGCATCCCGTGCGAGGCAGAGACGGCCAGGCGTAACTTTGGAACCTGCCTCGTGGAGAAGGGGAATCCCGAGTGTCGGCACTCAGTTCTGCCCTCGGGGCTGGCACCCTCATTTCCAAAGGATGCCCAGGGGTCGGTCAGTTTCCGCACCGGAAGCAGATGACTTGGAATCAGCTCTCAGGAAAGGAGAACTCCTTGTGCCTGACAGCACAGGCCATGGGGAACGTGGGAGAAAGAGGCCAGTTTGTTAATATTCCCCTTCTCTCCACCAGTCCTAATTCAGAACTCAGCGAGGCATTTGTTTTCAGTCGCACCATCCACGTGAGAGGAAGAGAGAAATACACCCCCGTCTTCCACCTGCCAGTGAAGCGATGAGATGCCGGGCTGATGGGCTCATTAAGAGGCTTCTGTGTCAGAGTTGGTCTGGTATCACTCCAAGGACTTAAGTGTGGGTAGGACGGGGCTTCCTGCCTGATCACGAAGAAGTGATGGAGACAGAGAACCTGTGTTCCGTCTGAGATCCGGCTCCCTTTTATTTCTCCAGCGGAAGTGGGTGAGGGTGGGCTGGCGTTAAGGAAGAGCTGTTTGCTTGCAAATGCAGCCGCTGGTGACAAAGGAAAGAGTGAGGGAGTGGATAGCTCCAAAGGAGCCTTGGCGCTCCTGCACGGAACAGCGACCCTGGGTGCACCCTTCAAGGTGAGTAAAAAGGCACCATCCATGTAAGGAGAGCACATGCTGTTCTTTATCTGCTTGAGAATAACTGTCTCCCTTCAGCCCGGTTGCTCTCAGCATCCCGCCCGTGTACTCCAATCAAAATCTCCGTAACATCACAACCCTGACCTCCTTCATACCTCTCCGCTTCCCCCGCAAATCCCCACCAAGATGTGAATCTGCAACACTTGGTGAAAACAAAACAGCTCGCTGCCCCCGCTGGTGCTGGGGTGAGGGGTAGGAGAAAAGCAGAATCTGTGGCCAGGGTCCTCTCTTGGATAGAGATGGGCTCCAGCCTGGCTCTCCACCCTGGGAAGGGATCTGGGTCCTTGGGGAATTTCGTTTTCTCCAGACTCTTTAGCCTCTGGAAATGACAGAGCCAGGCCCCTTTGGCGATCTCTCCCAAGTGAGAGCAAGACCTGTGTCTGGGCGTTGGAGAGTTGAGTGGAAGAAGCAGCTTGCTGGTAAGGGAGACATTGCTGTGACTTGAGTCTGAACAGTGTGCCTGCTTTGATCTGGGCAAAACTGGCTATAGAAGAACAAAGCAGGAACACCTATGCTAGGCCTGTCCCCCTGGAGGCCCCACCCAGGTGCTCTGGGGGCTGGTGCCCATGCCATGAGGTCTGTGTGGCCGCAGCCCTTTTCAGGCCAGGAGAGGAAGGTCCTGCCTTGGTCCCAGGTGGACCACTGAGACCAGGGTTCCCTCCCCTCAGTCTCCTCTCCAAGCTCTATGAGGTCAAAGACAAAGGAAGCTGCACTGCCAAGTTGCGGATTTTGCCTCAGGCAACTAAATTTATTAGCAAGAAAAAATTTTTGTCAGCCCAATGCTGAACAACAAAGTACATCGTTAATAAAGGATAACAAATCTGTCAATCATAAAACATACCTCAAGCAGTTACAACTAAAAATAAAGTTGTATTTTGTTTATTAATTTAAAAGCCTCAAAAATAACAAGCAATATGTTTTTAAACATGTAGTAGACACAATTGTCTATTATACAATATACACTGTACAGAACTAGAGCGTGGGCCGGTAGGGGTAGGTGAGATGAAGGGAGAGCGGAAAGGTTCAGGATGTGAAGTTTTTATCTGAATCCAGATTCAAATTGAAATGCTGTGTCATTTAGAAAAGAGAACTGCTAGTGAGAAAAAAACACCCATATGCTCATCACTGCCCCCCCAAAACCCTAAACTGAAAGCAGGCATGGGGGAGGTGAGTAACAAGTATAGGAGGAAGGGAGCAATTAAATAAAACTTTAAAGCACACACAATACACAGTGTTCATTATCTGAAATAGAGTATAAGGCAACGTTCTCCATAGAAAAAGGGGGATCAGGGAGTCCGTGGTAGTTTCATTTTTAAATAGAAAGTTGGAATGTGCTGGAGAAGAGTTGTGGCAGGGCGGGGCATGTGGAGTGGAGGTGGCCTCTTGAGCCTGGCAGGAGGTGGGTGCCGGTGGTGCCCTGGGTGCAGGGCCCGGGGCCAGGGAGGTGCAGGAGAGCGGGGCATGGCACGGTGATGCGACTCTCGCAGTGTTGGGGGGGAGGGGAGGACTCACTTTGCTCCTCGATGGAGTGAAATTCATGTTTTTCCTTTGGAAATAAAGGTTCCCACTCGTCCTGGTTTAGAACGTCTCATTGGGCAGAGCCAGTGTCCCCGGTCTGGTGAGAGGCAAGGGCCAGGGCAGAGCCAAGGGCTTCAGCAGAGGCGAGTGTGGGGCAGCAGAACCCCTTCCTGTGAGGACAGTTGCAAAACAGGAGGGAGGGGCTGAGGGCAGGCCCAGGACCGCCGGGGCCTCCTTTCCACCAGGGGGGTTGCATCTTCGGGCTTCCCGCCTCAGTGGGCCTTACAAGTTCTTCGTGACCAGGTGCGTCTTGTAATGTTTGGTGAGGTGATCACTCCTCATGAAGCGCTTCTGACACTGGGCACACTCAAAGCGTTTGTCCCCTGGGAAGAGGAGATGGCCATCACTCACAGAGCTCATCCACAGACTAGCCCAGCCCCCCAAGAGGAGAGGCACACGTGACATCAAGCTTGTGATGTCAGAAACAATAGTGATTGCGCCCTAGCCGGTTTGGCTCAGTAGGTAGAGCGTTGGCCCGCAGACCGAAGGGTCCCGGGTTCGATTCCGGTCAAGGGCATGTATATTGATTGCAAGTTCCCTGGCCCTGGTCAGGGTGCATGCAGCAGGCAACCAATTGATGTGTCTCTCTCACATCAATGTTTCTGTCTCCCTCTCCCTTCCACTGTTTCTAAAAATTAATGGAAAAAAACGTCCTCAGGTGAGGATTAACAATAACAACAACAAAATAATAGTAATAGTGATTGGACCCATAAATGAGTGAAAATAGTGAAACGATTTCAGAACAATCATTCAGGAAATAATAATAGGAAAGGCAATATGGGGTAGCAATTAAGAGTGTGGACTTGGTAATAACAGCTCAATGTAGTGCTGTTGCATCCTTGAAAATCTGAAATCATAATACCTGTAATTGAAATATATGGGCTAGCCCAGCTGGTGTGGCTCAGTGGTTGAGTGTCGACCCAGGAACCAAGAGGTCAATGGTTTGATTCCTGGTTGGGGCACATGCCCGGGTTGCAGGCTTGATCCCCAGTAGGGGACATGCAGGAGACAGTCAACTGATGATGTTTTTCTCTCATTGATGTTTCTATCTCTCTCCCGCTCTTTCTCAAATCAATAAAAACATTAAAAAAAAAAAAAAAGAAGAAGAGAGAGAAATAATAGATGGGCTAGCCCTAGCTGGCTTGGCTTAGTGGATAGAGCGTCGGCCTGTGGACTCAAGGGTCCCTGGTTCTATTTGGTTGTGGGCTCGATCCCCAGTGGGGGGCATGCAAGAGGCAGCCAATCAATGATTCTTTCTCATCATTGATGTTTCTCTCTCTCCCTCTCCCTTCCTGTCTGAAATCAATAAAAATATATTTAAAAAAAATAATAGATTGGGCTAAAGTTGTAGCTCCTATCAACATTACTCGGGATTATTCTATAACTTGTCTTTAATGTAGAAATGTATAGTTTCATCGATATGATTATATTTCAAATGGGGGGGGGAGGAAGAGTGTGGATTTGGGAGCCAGGGGGCCTGCGCCTGAACCCAGCTCCACTAGCTGAGACCAAGCCACCTCTCCATGCCTCAGTAACATGGGCATGATCGAAGCACCCTCCCCATAGAGTTGTTCTGAGGATTGAATTAGTCGGCTGTAAAGTGCACAGTACAGTGCCTGGCATACGACGTCAGTGCTTGTTACATAAATAACTGCAGCTATGGAGGAAGTCATCGAGGCTGCATGATGCTTCGGGAAACACCGTGTAAAGGAATGGCTGGAAAGCATTTCCTGGGGAGGCTTGGAGCCGAGAAGACAGTCTGTAGCCCCTGCTCAGTGTGGCAGTTCCTCGGCAGGGCCAGGAATCTGGATGCCACTGAGGGCCATGGAGTGGGGCTGCGGGGAGTGGGGGGGGAGGACCCGTGTGGTTGCAGCCTGCCAGGGAAGCGGGGGAGAAGCCGTCTGGGAGGCAGTGTGCCACCGGGGGAGGGAACAGACCTGTGTGGGTGCGAGCGTGCCGCTGGAGTTCATCACTTCGTGTGAACCTCTTCCCACAGAAGAACCAGTTGCAGACAAAGGGCCGCTCGCCGGTGTGCAGGCGCACGTGGGCCCGCAGCAAGGATGTCTTCCGGAAAGTCTTGCCACAGTCGGGGATGTGGCACACGTGCTTCTTCTTGCCCTGCTCTCCAGACCTGGGGATGGCGAGCGGGAGGGAGGGAAAGGGAAAGGTAGTGAGGAAGGAAGAGAAGATGGGCAGGATGGGATGGAGAGAGGATGTGGGGCAGGTCAGAGAGCACAGAGGAGGTGAGGAGGCAAGGTGGTGTGGAGTCGCTACCTTGCCCCCCCGATCTGTGACCCAGGAAGGCGCTTGGGGAACAGGCACAAGCCAGGCTGCCAGGCTGGCTCCCATTACCTCTTGTCCCCATCCTTGCAGTTGGGACATGTGCAGGCCATGCGGCGCCGCTTCTCCCCGGGCTGGGCCTCTCCAGACAGGGCCTGCTCCATCTGCAGCTGGATTTGGGTGGGGCTCAGCCCACTGATGGTCAGGTTGTTCCCAGAAACATTCTGCACCGTCAGCTGCTGCTGCCCTGTGGGGAGCGGTAGGGCACGGTTGGGGTGAGGAAGCCTGAAGGGACAGAGCCGGGAGCCTGACACCCTCCTTCCCTTCTGCACATGATAAGGATAACCAGAACAGCTAATGCTTTGAGAGCCTGTTATATGCCAGATACGCCTTCAACCTGCACAGTCCTACGAAACAGATATATTATCCTCCTTTCACAGCTGAAGACACTGAGGCCCAATAACCTATCAAGGTCACACAGCTAGTAAGTGGTAGGACTCGGGTCTGAACCCAGGCAGTCGACATCAGCATCAATGCGCTGAACCACCACACCACACCAGCCAAATGTGCTTTCACGTGTTTCAATTGGGAAGGGTCTTGTCTTGAGGGGCGTTTCTTCCAGAATTTCCTCCAGCCTTAGGCCCTTGTGAGATACCTGCTCTCAGGAAAGTCTCCAGGGATTTCTGTTAATAAGAGTAAGAGCCAGGCTGGTGTGGCTCAGTGGTTGAGCACTGACCCATGAACCAGGAGGTTAGGTATGATTCCTGGTCAGGACACATGCCGGGGTGGGGGGTGGGTTGCAGGCATGATCCCCAGTAGGGGGCGTGTAAAAGGCAGCCAATCAATGATGGTCTCTCATCACTGATGTTTCTATCCCTCTCTCCCTCTCTCTGAAATCAATAAAAACATATTAAAAAAAATAAAGAAGACAGTTCTGAGGGCTTTGGAAAAAAAAAACCAAGTCCTCTAGGACTTGCATAAAGCCTTTCAAAGCAGGGGAATGCTGCTGACCTATTGCTGGTGTTCAAGTGCCACTACCCTGTAAAGGCCTTCACCTGGCTAAAGAAGGCGAGGCAAGGAACCGTTTTTGCTAGGTAGCTACAATATTCCTTTGCTGATTTGCAACGCTGCTTTCATACTGTAAATATTACCAAATATTCCCACTCAGCAGAAGTGAAGCACAAGCCATTCCCACTGCCAAAGGCTCCTTCCTTTCCTTCCAACGTTAACTCAAGGCTTTCCTCATTCTGGAAGTCTTCCTTCAAGTTTCTTTACCCAGGGCCTCCCTTGAAGATGTATCTGTCTTTGGTCTGTACCAAACGAATTTGCATTTGGTGTTAGCTGGAGTTTTCTCCTAGTATATCTTATTCTCTCCACCATATTCAAGGTCTTCAGCTGTAAGTTGGGGCCAATAGCATCTTACACTATCTCGCAGGGCTAAGGGCCGAGTGGACACGCTTTTAAGCGGGAAAGGATGAGACAAGTGTCAGGTATTCTCCTCACTCCTGTTCCTGGGAAGCACGGGGCTGGCGCACGGTCCGATGCGAGGGATGTGCAGGCACTACCCACGCCCCAGCCCAGGGGTCTTCCCTCACCGCCGGCGTTGGTGATGGTGACAGGCACGCCCTGGACTTGGACACCATTGATGTTGATGGTCTGCATGGCCTGGGCCGCCGCCGCCAGCTGGGCTGCATTCAGGCTGATGATGCTCCCGGCGGGGGCGATCTTTGGCAGGGGACGCTCTTTCCGGAGAATTGCGGCTGAGTGTTTTTTGCTGGTCCCGCTCGGATGGGGAGCACGGGGTGCAGGACTGCTACAGGTGGTGGCAGAGGTGGGTGCAGCTGTTGCTGGGGAGCTGTCCTGGAGAAGGACCGTCTGCACCTCACCGGAAGGCGTACGGAAGTAGACCTGGGAGGGACCAGAGAGAAAATGTCAGTGTCCCAGGAGAGTCTGGTTCCCGCACTTACTGCCCACCCCAAACGATACTGACTCTGAACATTCAGATCAACTCGGGAAATGCATCAGCAGCATCTTCAAAGGCAAGCTGAGTGGAGCGCTAGCCAGTTAGTGCTAAGGAGAGGAAGGCAGGTGCAGAGGGTGTGCGTGGTACCTGAGTAGGCGTTGGCTCGGCCGCCTGGATCTGAAAGTTCTGGGAGGGCTTCTGGGGGACAGTGGGGAGGGTGGCAGATGCCGCCTGCACCACTCTCAGGGCCTGCTGGGGGATCTGCACCACCTGCTGCTGCTCGGCCTTGGGGGGCACCACCTGGACCTGCTGGACCACAGCTGGCTGGCCCCCGCCAGGGCTCTGAACAATGAGCAGGTTGTTTCCTGCCTGGATGATGTTGTCCGCTGTGGTCTCGATCAGCACCGTCTCCACCTGCTCAGCCACGGCCACCGAGGGCTGGGCAGCAGGAAGACTCTTCTTCCGGGCTTTCTTACTCGTCTTGGACAGCGGGATGGGAGGACTCTCCGTGAGGAGCTGAGTGGAGGCCCCGGTGTCGCTGGTGTTCACAAGGTTGTTGACAGGCAGAGTAAGTGTCACGTTGCCACCCCCACCCGTCAGCTTCACCACATTGGCCCCGCTCTGCACAGGGGTGGTAGTTGTACTTGACTTCTGGGCAGGGGCTGGCTTGATGGGGACAGGCTTGTGACCGGATGGTGAGGGGGTGATGATGGCTTGGTTGGTGCCAGGGATGATCTGGATTTGGTTGGCGAGATTGGGCTGTACTTGGATGGTCTGGCCACTGCTCGCCTGAATCTGAGAGACTGCCTGGTACTGGATGTTGGCATTTGCTCGGGTCCCTTTGTTAATCACAGTGGGATTCTGGATGGCGAACACCAGCTGACCCCCAGGATAGGATGTGCTCAGTTGTGACCCTTGAATCTGAAGTATGTTTCCTTTGGAGGACAAGATTCCAAAGCTATTCTTGCCGGGGCTGAGAGGGAGAGGGGCAGGTTTGATAGGGACCAGTTTCCGTGGTGTGGGCTGTGGGGGAGCAGGCGGCGTCACAGCAGCCTCAACAGCTGGAGGCCCAATTTTGCTACATGTTGCAGCAAGCAGGGCTAAGGGAGACGGCTGGGAATCCTGCAAAAAACCCAGAGGAGAAAAGGAGTGAGACGTGAGGGCCTGTAGCCCAGCCACCCTCTGCCTGTTTTGATCCTCTCCTCTTGGCAGGTTCCTCCCCACTTCTGTGGCAGGCAGGGTGCCAGCACCCTCCCCCTGCAGTGGTCCTGTTGTCCCTGCTGGCTTCTCCATCCTATATAATAAAACCCTAATATGCAAATCAGCCAAACAGCAGTACGACCAGTCCCGATGACGCACTGACCACCAGGGGGCAGACGCTCAACGCAGGAGCTGCCCTCTGGTAGTCGGTGCACTCCCATAGTGGCAGAACCGCTCAGCCAGAAGCCGGGCTCACGGCTGGCGAGTGCAGTGGCGGTGGCTGAAGCCTCTCTCCCACCTCTGGACCCCTCAGGGGATATCCGACTGCCAGCTTAGGAGATATCCCCCGAGGGGTCCCGGACTGCGAGAGGGTGCAGGCTGGGCTGAGGGACCCCTCCCTCCCCCAGTGCACGAATGACGTGCACCAGCCTCCACTTGAGTAATGAGGGAGAAAGGGTGGGAAATGTCTTTCTCAGGAGGTAGTGCCCCAGAAGCACCCAGGACAGGGTGAACTAACAGCATGAGCTGGCCACTTACTCCCCACTGGCCTCGTTTCTAACAGGGCACAGAACCACCCTGAGCTCGTACATGGAGTTCCGTTGGCTCACCACAGGGATTAAGGGATCCCTGATTCCTCAACTGAGGAAGGGAGAGAAGGAAAGGAAAAGGGAGGAGCAAGAGGAGTAAACCCTCTGGTCACGTGTTTTCTAGGGACATGACTTCACTGACCAGGGAAGGCTGCTCTTTTGAGGCTACAAGGGAGTCTCTGGGCTGTGGGCACACAGTCTCTATTTTCCTTCTATGGTCAGTGGAGTCTAGTGGAAGAGACCTTGAGTTTAATCCTGCTTTTCCCCCTGACCCAACGGTGGCACCTTAGGTTAGTGGCCATGGTTTCTTAGTTCAGAAACAGCAGATAACCGAACTCCCCCTGGTCTCCTGTCCTGGGGTGTTTACAGTGAGTGCTCAGTCTGGCTGAATGGCAGCTTCAGGAGTCCTTCCAGGCCGATGCGGCCCCCCACCCTCAGAGCCCACTCACCTGGGTGCTGGAGGCAGCGGGCTGCAGGTAGTCACTGGGACTGACAGCAGCAGTGGCAGCCATGCTGGTGTGTGGATCTGCTGGAAGAAAAGAAAGTAATGCACAAAATGCCCCCAAAGAACCCAAACCCACTTGCCTGGTATTTCCGTTTTGTCTCTTTGCTGCCGCTTCTCTCAGAGCTTTCCCCACACTGACCCACTCAAGCTGAGCAACCTGCATCTTTTCAGCAGGTGCCCTTCTCCTCTCCTCTCCTCAGACTCAGCCATCCACGGCTGTGAGGACAGCTGGTCCTGCCTTCCCTGGACTGTCCCCTCCAGCCAACATAAAGCCTGAGATAACACGAAGATGCTGAGATTATACCAGGAGCAGCTTCCGTAACGGCACCGTGAACCCAAGGAGCCCTCTCTGTGGGGCACTGCTGACTCCCGAGGTCAGAACCCCTGCATGGTGGGTGGGGAAGCCCCCTCCCCCAGCTACTCCTCCAGCCCTGACCCAGGTTTCCTGCTCTGCTGCTGTGGCCAGACGCCACGCCAGACTGGAAGAGAAGCCTGGCTCAGTCAGGATCCCTGACAAGGAGGACACAGCTACTCCATGCCCAAGTCCTAGGTGCTTTGTGCTCAGCCTTCACCACAAAGGCCCGACGGCCCAGGTATTGATCTACAGCATATGGAGAAGTGCTTTATGTGAATTTACACTTCAATGTAAGACAACAGGGATGGCCCCATACTAGGCATCACCTGGTTGGCCCAATAGGTATCACTAAGACTAGGAAGCTAATCACTGAATATAATGAGAATAAAGATAGAGTAAATTCTATTTTTGTTTAAATGTATATGTATTTCAATATAGGAATATAGCAGGAAAAAGTCTTAAATTGCTAAAATGTTAAAAACCATTATCTCCTGGTAGTTGGATTTTGCTTGACTGAGAGAATTTTTCTCCTTGTTTTTCTCTGTATTTTGTCATTTTCTCACAATAAATGTATTCTACTGTACTCTTTTTAAAATAAAGGAAGATAAAGAACATTGAGGAAGTAATTAAAGGAATCTCTGCTCTGAATTAAGTCTCACCTAAGATAAATATAAGATAGGTAAAATGGAAATCATGAGAATTGGGGGAAGGAATCGAAGCTTACAGTTCATACATCACTGAAGAAAAAAGGACACTGGGCAGAGTCTAACTTGTACCCTAGACCCTTCGAAAGTCGATTTCGGGAAGTACAGAAACAAGAAGGGTATTAATTACTTCAGAGGCTCAAAAAGGCAAAATGGCTTAGCCACTGAGCCCCTGCTGGGCATCTATTGAGGAGAGGAGAGGTTGGGGAGAAAGTGGAACAATTCAATTTTCGCTGGCCTCTGGCTTCTCTCTATGGGAGAAGGGTGGTTGTTGTTTTTTTAAAATATATTTTTATTGATTTCAAAGAGGAAGGGAGAGGGAGAGAAAGATAGAAACATCAATGATGAGGGAATCATTGATCAGCTGCCTCCTGCACGCCCCCTACTGGGGATTGAGCCTGCAACCTGGTATGTGCCCTTGACCAGAATCAAACCCGGGACCCTTCAGTCCGCAGGCTGGCGCTCTATCCACTGAGCCACACCAGCTAGGGCTGGGAGGAAGATTCTTAAATGGGAAAAGGTGAAGAAAAGGTGAATGGGGGACTGAATCAGGACAGGTGATGGACTAGTGAGAAGGCACACCAACGCCTTAAATGGTCCCCAGGCTCTAAGGCCACACAGCACTCCAGAGGAGGAGAGACTGTAGCACAGGAGTAAAACGAGTGAGAAGCCAGAGGGCAGCTCCGGGCAAAACCCAGAGGAGAGGGAGATCTGGAAATATTAGACTCTGATCCTTGTCAAAACCCTGGAATGAATGATTGACCAGCACTACAATTACTGAGGTAAGGGAGCAGGACAGTAATCATAGGAGTAAGCACACGGCTGCAAAAAACGTCTGTCATCCTGAACAAACCTGTTTTGTGGGGTTTTGGCTGGATACGTCAGAATGGTATACGCTGCACATTTTCTTTCAACAAGGCACCTGGATGAAATTTTTGTAATATTCTGATAAGAAGGGAAGGCATTGCAGGCAGGATAATAGTCTATTTTGGGGGCTAAGTTGAACGTGCCTCCACCTAAGTGTTGAGATCCATGCTGTCTAGCTGGCTGCTGTGAGGTCAACCAGGGTGCCTCACACTAGGGATGGGGCCCAGGACCAGGGTCTGCAGGCTTCTCCTCAGAGGCTCCAGCTCTCTCTACCAGAATGTTTTGTTCTTGTCTTCACTGTGAAGATCATCTTTTAAAAAGGAACAAATACTGTAGGTCGCTGGGTGATTGTTGCTGACCCCAGATTTGCACATTTCAGGGCCTAGGTGTGTATTTACAACTGCACTAGTGCCAAGTGGTACTATTCTAACGTCGTGGGCTAATTAAGACAACTTAATTCTGCATTTAACTCATTCAATACATTTGTGCAACGTGAGGGATGACAGCTCTTCAGAAGCTGGGAGGATTGTGTCTCCTCACTAGACACTGCAGGGAGGCGTGCGGAAGGAAGCCACGGAGGCCATGATGTCAAGTCTGTGCCGTGCTTATGCTGACAACAGCGATTCAGGTTCACACTAATGTCCTCCCAGAATGATGTCTTCGGTTTGAATTTTACTGGCTTTTGGGTAGTTATTTAATTAATTTTATAGGAGCTAGATCAGTGAATTGATACAGACTTATGTGAGTACATAATTAAGTTGTAGCATTATAATGAAAACAATCTAAGTTGACTCAAAACATCTTTTCTCTACAGCAGCGTTCAAACTATTCAGACCATGAACCACAGCTATAAAAACAATTTACATCAAGATCCAGTGCACACACACTCACACATACACCCACACACTTCCTTGTCCTGTGCTCATGCAATAACCAGTTTGGCTCATTCTCTCATCGTTGATGTTTCTCTCTCTCTCTCTCTTTCTCTCTCTCTCTCTCTCCCTTCCTCTCTGAAATCAACATATATATATAAAGTTTCCAGAAACAAAATATGCCCTTACTACATGTGATGGACTTTGATATTTTCCTACTCTATTTCTTGTTTTTAAACTATTTTTAAAAATTGGTTTTTAGAGCTCTGGCTGGTTTTGCTCAGTGGATAGAGCATTGGCCTGCAGAATGAAGGGTCCTGGGTTTGATTCCAGTCAAGGGCACATGCCTGGGTTGTGGGCTCGATCCCCAGTGGGGGGTGTGCAGTAAGCAGCCAATCAATGATTCTTATCATTGATGTTTCTATCTCTCTCTCTCTCCCCTAAAATCAATAAAAAATTTAAAATTAAGAATTGATTTTTAGAGAGGAAGGGAAAAAGAGAGAAACATCAATGTTTTTATTGATTTTAGAGAGGGAGGAAAGGAGGAGAGAGCAGGAGAATCATTGATCAGCTGCCTCCTGCACACCCTCTACTGGGGACCAAGCCTGAAATCCAGGCATGTACCCTGACCGGGAATCAAACCCATGACCCTCTGGTTCATAGGTCCATGCTCAACCACTGAACCCATGCCAGCAGGGCCTAGGCTTTTATTTTTAAACTAGAGGCCTGGTGCATGAAATTCATGCACAGGTAGGGTCCCTAGGCCTGGCCAGCTATCAGGGCCAATCAGGGCCTTCCTTCTGGCTACCAGCTGGGGCCTCCCTTTGTTCCGTGCCACCCCTGGTGGTCAGCACATGTCATAGCGAGCAATTGGTCTCCCGGTAGAACTCCCTCGGGGACAATTTGCATATTAGGCTTTTATATATAGAGATGCTGATTGTGACTCACTAAATTGCTTTTGTGCCACAGAGACTGGAAATTGCTGCTTTAGAGTAGTCTAACCACCTCCCAACTTTGGAAAACTGTCCAACGACTTAGTAGGCACGTTCAATTTGCAGATGTCATAGGACTGAGAAGGACTGCAAACACAATGGGTGTCAGTATTAGGGTTCAAAGAGCTCTTTAAAAAATGGTATGTGCAGAAGGCTCCAGACCTAAGTGAGAATTTGTACTGTGCTAGTCATCAGCACCCTCTATAAAACATAGGTAGTCATCCTCATGGGATTCCAGGAGGCATCAACAATTCATATGAAAAGCATTAATCATGTAGTGGGTAACCAATAACTGGTGGTTTAAACTTTAAAGTTGAATAAATTCTTAAGATTTTTAAAAAAGTAACATGTATATAGGACAGGAAGACAGAGCTTAATCGTGAGCCTCATGTGAAAAAGCTGCAGTGGTTTTAACTCAAAGCTAAACAGGCGCCAACAGAATCTCGATGCTGTTGCCAAAAAAGCTACTGCAATCTTGCACTGCATTTCCCAAAGTTCAATCACAGAAGAAGAAAAATAATAGTCCTAGTGTGTTCTGCACACTTGGGCTACATCTGAGTGGCAGGTTTCATTCTGAGGGACATTTTGAAAGGGGGCTTTGCAGTAGGAGCTGGTTCAGAGAGCAGCAGCAATGGTTGTGACCAGGGTGCCCGAGCAGCAGTATCCACCAGGGTATTATATTCCATCCTGGGTTCAAAGGGTGGAACCAAGATTTCAGGATGGAAATTTCAAGAAGGCAGATTTCAGATTAAGAGGGAAACTTTCAAAAGATGGAATAAGTTGCCTTTTGAAGTAATGTTCTCCCTTCTCTGGAACCACTTAGCCTGAGGCAGAGTAAGTGTCTGTTGGAGTCAGGATGTCTAGATGGGGTGGGAAGTTGGACTGAATTGCCTTTTAGATGTTTACAATTCTCAGACCACGTTACTGATAAAAACACAAGATGAGTTCGCTGCTGGCGGGGCTGGAAAGGGAAAGCAGAGGCTTTCCCAGGAGGCTGCCTGGGCTCAGGTTCACTTCGCTAAACTTGGTGAATGACTCTCCCTGAGACATCGTCTGTTATGAAACGGAAGGACATCAGAACAGGACAGAGTGCAAACAAAATGAAAACTGGCCTAGAGCTTCTTACTCACCTGCCTTTCCCATCTCCCTGTCTCCCGCTGCAGTCATTACTACCCTGGACTCCAACTGTTTGGAGACCTGGCGGGGCTCTGAGTGAGCCTTCAGTTAGGAAGCCACAGCAGAATCTACTGAAGCAAGCTGCAGACTGCTGGCACTCGACGCTGCACCATTTCAATTTGGTTTCATTTTCCTCCCCAGCTGGCTCTTGAAATACTCCTCTAGATTGCAAGCCGATGTTTGTATCTCTCCTAGGATCACTCAGAGTTTTGTGGCCCCTGGGCAACCAAAACAGAGAGGATCTCGCTCCCCGCCATTGCAGAATTATACCCTGAGATTAACCATAAAAGGGAGAAGAGAAGCGTTTCCCGTTGGTGTCTGGAAATGAGAAGTGGTTAAGAAATGGCGCAGACAGTAACTACAAGACTCTGATCAAAGTACTTTAGAATCACATTAATTTGGAACCTTATATTTAAAATGTGTAATTTGGACATAAATTGTGCTTTCCTTCATATTATTCAAAGCAAGGCTAAATAGTTGTATGAAGACTGCAAAAGGACTCCTACTGTTTTATACCACGTCCACCATTTTAATTCTACCTTTTGCTTTTCTTTTTTTTATCCTCACTCGAGAACATGCTTATTGATTTTCTTAGAGAGAGGGGAAGGGGGAGGGAGGGAGAGAGAGAAACATCGACCAGTTGCTTTCCTGTACACACCCTCAACAGTGACTGAACCCGCAACCCTACGATGTACAGGACAATGCTCCAACCGAGCCACACGGGCCGGGGATGTACGACGGCTTTTAACAGCAGTTTACATCCAGTCACTGAACCCTACATTTAGCAACATTGGTAAGTGGGATTATTGCATACTCTTGAAAAAGAAGGTGTCATTTCTTTCAGAGTTCTATCATTCAGGTTGGCTAAGACTTTCCCAACAGATTTCACCTCGGCTGGTGAAACTTTACAGGGATTTACTATACAGGCAAGAGTAGCTCTCAGGTTTCAAGGAAAACTTCCAAGGTCATCCAACAAGCCGTCCAGTGTCTGATGGGACTACTGTCTTTCCTTTCTCTATA